TACACTGCTGAGGGGAGCAGCAGGCTGGTCAGGAGAGGTCTGCCGCGCCATGTGGGTTAGCATCCGGGCTGGCATCCGGGCTGGGGATCAAACTGGCTGCGCAGAGCTTCATAGTGCTGTGCTTTAACCCCTTGCACCACTAGAGGGGGCCCTACAGGTTGATTCAAAGATTTGTACATAAATGTATTTCTAAATTTCTTTCACTGTTTTTAAGACAATTGTAAACTCAGTTGATTTTTCACTTCACTGTGAGTCAGCTGTGAGTCAGCACCGTGTTTGGTGTAGGCAGCAGGGCCAGGACCTTACATGGGTGTGGAGAGTAATTAAAGCCATAACATATCTTAGAACTAATAGTTCAGTTAAAGTAGTGGAAATCTTAGAACTGTTTATTTGAATGTGTTCTTTTGCCGAGTTTTCATAATAATGTTTTCAAAGTTCAAATGTCCCTGAGTGTATCTTCAAATGTTTTCCTTCACTTTTTCAAAACCTCCCCAAACCTTAATACACTTTCATTAGAACTTTCCCACTTACACATACTCTGGAAACAAAGCAGAAAGACAAAAGAATCACCTGTAACCTCAATGGAGTTGAAGTCCTGCACCCACCTAGTTCCATGCTTGAGGGCACCCCGTGTTAAGAGTTTAGTGAATACTCCCACCATTTTCTGAGTTAACATAAGCAGGTCTATATATTCCATCCTGGTTTCTCTGACAATGGACAATGGACATTTCATTCAAATGCTAATAAGAGTCTTCCTTATGCAGAAAAACCTATACCTGCTGAACGCCACCGAGGATCTAGTCACAGACAGGAACCAGTGCCATTGCCAGGCTTTCTTCCTGCCCAGAAGTAAGCATCCTTTCCTTTGAAAAATAAGTTTCCTTTTGTAGCAAGAGCCCCTGCCTTAGCTGCAGGCACAGTGCTACGGCTTGCAGAGCTTGGTAAAAGATCTGACAGCCCATTGCTTTGGAATGAATGGTAAAGAGGTAACAGTTTAGATAATAATTTTAAAAGAGCTGCTTGGACTTGCAGAAACCTAATATTTGAATTAATTATTGGCCATAACTAAAAATCCAACTTGTTAGTCAAGGCTCCTCTGTTTCCAAAACTAAAGGAATCATTTTATTTATCTTGAAGGTGTTGGGGCCCTTCCCATTTTTAGGTGTGTTTTCTTGGTCACTCATGAAGTCTCTTTTGTGATATTCCTATTCACAGCATCTTTAGTGTAAACAAAAATTCAAACTTACTCATCTTACACTTTGCCCTTTAATTAATCTGAAATTTTTCATTTCAGACAACTCCATCAAAAACCAGTACCTCTGCCAAGTAAGTCCAGTGGAGTCATGACCAGCAAGCAGGCTGGGCCTTTGTGTCTGAGCTGCCTTATTCTAACATAACTAAGCTCCCTAGCCTGTTTCCTCACCTGTAAAAGCAAGTCAAGAATATTGATTTCACAGAGATGTCCTAAAAAACGAACAGATTTGAGGTAGTTTGTATTTTTTAAGTTTTTGGTATTGGTTTTATTACTGACCTGGTCCTTCTCCCTCCTCCTCTCCTACTGAATGTCTCTGATATATAGTTGCCTGATGATTTTGATTTTATTATAGTTTCTTCTTTTTTTTTTTTTCCTGATTCCTCTTTTGTGAGAAACATTGTTCTTAAGGGTTGTTTGGTGTGTGTGTGTGTGTGTATGCACCACTCTCAAGCACAATGTCGAGATTTTGGTAACTGGTCAAGATACAGTGCCTGTCAATTGATTTTTCAAACCCCTGTCAGGATTTCCAGAAGGCGGAAGCCCAACGGTGGATGGCCCACTACCGAGCTTTTCATCTAACTCCAGTGTATCAGAACAGGTATGAAATGAGTGCTGTTGTTACCAGCAAGCTGCAGGGAAGGACTGCCGGATGTGAGGGTTCAGAGCTTGAGAACAGACCGCCTTGTTTGTCACTTGTTGTTGGACATAAAAAATATATTTGTTTTCTAGATGCCCCAAATAACAATGTTTCTCTTAAAGCTAGCAAAGAAGTGTTCTTTTTATTGTTCCCTCACATAGATTCTATTTAAACTTTATAGTATTCTCAGAATAGACCTGTGGAGGCATATGGTGTTAAGACACATATAAAAGCACAGTTTTTAAAAAGGCAGAGAAAGAATTCTGTGTCTCTGAACTTTCTCAAGTGTAAAACAGAGGTGACCACATGTAACCTTTTGCCTTCAATGTAGTTATGAGTCAAATTAAAAAACATTTGTAAAACACTCCAGAATCGTATAGCACTCCTCAAGGCCGTGTCCGGTAAAAACACAATGGAAAGGGAGATGATAACTCCCTAGGAGGAAGCAGTGACACATGGGTCTGAGGCCCAGCAGGATTCAGTCCTTATAATCAAGCACTAAACTCGGCAGCTAAGCAAGGCTAACTGGGGGCAAGTCAGTTTCATAGTCCTGACGGTCTCTCAAATGAAGCGTAAAGCTAATTCTCAAATTACTCACCAAATGTGCATCACGAGGTCTGACTTGGTACTGCTAGGCTGGTCTTCATGTCAGGTTCACAGAAGATCCAGTGCCATTGCAAGGCTGTTTCAGGCCTCACCTCCCTCTGTCTCACAGGAGGCTGATGTCTGCTGTAAGCCGTGGTACGCCGGCGACTGTGATCGGAAGTCTGCAGAAGAAGCATTATACAGATCAGACAAGGTCCGCTCATCTTTAATCCCCATCTCCTGCCCTCAGGCTGTGGTCAACACACAGTGGTCATCCTGATACTATGCTAATTAAATAATCGCAAGACCACGAAAGCAGGAATCCTTTTTCTTCACATACTGGAGAGTGACTGCCAACCCCTCCTCTCCTTCAGTCACCTTCCTCTGGCCCCCATCTCAGTTCTGCTTCCCTGTCCTCTCTACTGGGGCCCAGGCTCTCCAAACAGTGGGAGAGCAGGCTCCAGGGGAGATCTCTGCACAGCTGGGTGCTCCGAAAAATTCATCCAGGGGTGAGAAGGAACAGGTTATTTTGGACCCTGGGTAAAAGATTTAGGTCAAGATGGCAGAAGATACCTGGAAACCAATTTTTGGAGAGTCCAAGCCCAGTCATGCTGGAACGCTAGAGACATTTGGGCAACGTGCCAGGAAAGTGCCAGGTTCTCTCCCTCTCACTTCGTCACTTGTGCCCGACTATGACGGAATGTATGGCACTTGCAAACTGCTCCCTGCCACCCTCCCTTTAGTCCTCACTCTGTAAGTCAGAATGTGAAATGCTTCCTGTCAGTCCCCTGCAGGCTTCCAAGCCAGCTTTTTGTTTCATGAAGCTTGCCTTTTATTAGATTCTCAGAGCTGCTTACCACCTTCTCTGAGATTTTGCACATTCAAAATAGTTTTGTTTGTTTTTTTTTTTTTTTCACAGCTTTATACCAGGAAGAAATACTGGCTGCATATAAGATTCTTTGCTCAAGTTTTTTAAAGTGTTGTGCCATTGAATTGCCTTCTTTTATATGTGATGCTTTTGAAAAATCTGATGTTGGTTATTTTCTTGCCTTTATGTGTAAGTTGTTTTAGTTTTAAGGATCTGCAGACTTTGGGTTTTTAAAGTCTTACTACTCCTGGGCTGATTTCCAGATCAGTAGTTCCAGATAGACTTTCAATATGAAGATTTATTTTCTCTTATTTCCAATAGCTTTTCTCGTGATCTTAAAAGTTAGTTCTGCCATTGTTTTGTTTTCTTCTTCAAGGACTCAAATTCCATTGCCTTAGGCCTTTTTTACTCTTTCTTTCATTACAACCACTGTATCCCTGATCCTGTTGTACTTCTTCTTATAACCTTTTTCCCAATGTTGGCTTCTTCCAGACCCTCTTCTACTCATTTATTAAATCTCCCCCCAGGGCTCTCCCCTTTGCCTATCTTGTCACTCCTTCTCCATTTCTGAGGTAGGCTTGTCTTTCTCCAGTTTCTTAACTAAGTTTGATCAACTCTGGTATTCCTTCTCCCTGCTTTTTGTCCAGTGTTTGTTCTAAATTTTTCAATTTATGATTCTAGGGCCTTTTTACAAAACAGTTAATTAAATTTGGGATATTTCATTAAATTTGTTACAGTTTTCTTCTGCTTCCAGAGAGAGAGTTTTCATTAGCAAAAAGAAGTCAAAACAAATTATGCTTTGTTTTTATAGTACTTTTGAATGGATTTTTTTTTGATAGGCAACTTATGAGTATGGTTCCTAGTTCAAGAGTGCCCTCTATGTGTGATCTTAATGTGTCCCTTCATTTATTTCTAAGTTCTATAGACATCTTAATGCATTAAAAAGCTAGCATTGGGCCCTCCATGGTGACACTCTGGGTTAAAGCACAGCACTACAAAGCAAGCCACAGCTGCCTCAGCACAAGTTTGATCCCCAGCTGAAGATGTGACCCACATGGTGCGGCAGACCTCTCCTGACCCTCCTGCTGCTCCCCTCACCAGTGTACTTTGTCATTCCGCCTGCTCTGCTCCCCACTCTGTCTCTAGTGAATCCTCTCACTGCCCCTGCACCTCTGGCTTATACCCCAGTACTGTATGCGTAAATATATAAATGTTTAAAAAAAAAAAAAAAAGAAAGTAGCAAATACCTCACTTGGAATTTCCTATAAGTGTATTTTTTTACTGAAGCATTTTCTTGGAAAATAATAAAACTCTAATCAGTAATAGAAATCACATAGCTAAATAATTATCTTTTGAATGTGATAAGGATATTTTTTCATACCCCTGTTTCTATGTGATACTAACCATAACTATGTTTTCATTTTTTTAAACAGGATGGATCATTTCTTATTCGGAAAAGCTCTGGCCAAGATTCCAAGCAGCCATATACACTAGTTGTATTCTTTAATAAGAGGGTATATAATATCCCTGTGCGATTTATTGAAGCAACAAAACAGTATGCTTTGGGCAGAAAGAAAAATGGTGAAGAGGTCAGTAATTTATCTTTTTTTTTTTTAAAGATTTATTTATTTATCATACAGAACTGGGGTACAGGCCAGAGATGCGGAGGGTGAGAGGATTCACCAGGGACAGAGTGGGGAGCAGAACAGGCAGATCGACGAAGTACACTGCTGAGGGGAGCAGTGGACGGGTCAGGAGAGGTCCGCCACGCCATGTGGTCTCCTCCGGGGCAGGCGGAGATCGAGGATCGAACTCATGCGGAAGTGGCTTAAGCTTCTTAGTGCTGTGCTTTAACCCGCTGCGCCACCAGGGTGGGCCAGTAATTTACCTTTTAATCCCACTTATAACTGTATTGAGCACAATAACATAGTACTACATTGGGTGCTGAAAAGGACAAGAAAGGACACATGTATACTTGGTCCAACATTTACACAGTAGGTAGAGTACAAGATAAAGTAATATTCAAACAGTATAACCTATAAATGAACAAAAAGGAAGGTAGGCTAGGAGGATCAAAGGGCTATATCTTAGTCCTTTTATCATGTTACTTAATAGGGTTTGTCTGACTCAGGATTTAAGTCTAGGGGGACACAGAAATTGTCAAGGTTGAAATACTAAGTAAAATGAAAGTTATAAGAATAAAATTCAGCATACAGAACTCCTAAGTCAAGAAGTAGGACCTCAGCTCAAGTGCCAAGTAGATGATCAGGGAGGGATGCATAAGGCACACCGGAGTTTATGCTGAAGCATCAGCCCGAGGACCAGAATGACTTATGGGCTGTTGCAAGAAAAAAAAAAATAAACAGAGCATATGGGTCTTGATTATGAACAGCATAAAATTCAATTTCTCTTTAATCTGGAACAAATCAATGCTCATCTTATGTCCATTTATCCAGTCTGTTCCTATAAGTGAACCCTGAAATAGGGGCTGGTAAGTCCATATTTGAATGATCAGAAAGGTATATTTGTTTTGGCCTTAGTGATGTGTCAGAGATGATGTAGGTAGAATGAAAAGTGGTGTGAACGAGGGAAAAAAGTGGAAAGAGCAGTCTAAGCAGATAAAATAGTATAAGAAGATTCAAGTTAAGAGATACTTATTTTCAAGATCTATAAACCTGTAAGTATTCCAAACCTAACACTTGTTAGTATTTGAATTATTAGAAAACGTCAGAAGTGCAGAAGTGTCTGTCTTTTCTGCTAGTGTCTGCTTCTTCTCTGTGTCTGTCAGGAATAATGTCCGCTACATCTCTATTTTCAGAACCATAGCACAATAGCTGACTTCAGTGGATGCTTGATAAACACTTACTAAACAAATGGATTTATTGGTTGAATGATTGTAAGCAGGAAAAAAGCATGTGTAAAACAAACTGGAAAGATCTTATGTCAGTGAACATACTCTTTGTTTTCTTTAATTGTGGTAAAATGCCTATCATAAAATGTTATCATTTACCATTTTTAAGTGTACAGTTAAGTAGTGTTAATTATATTTACAATGCTTTGAAACAGCTCTCCAGAATTTTTTCAATGCCCACACCATTCAATAACCATGAACAACGTACCTTTTTCCTATTACCCCAAACCCTGGTCACCCACTGCTATCTGATCTTTTCTTTTTATATAAATTTTATTACTTTAGAAGCCTCATATACATGGAATCATACAATTTTGTTCTTTTTGACAGGCTTATTTCAGTTAGCAAAATATCCTCAAGGTTCATACATGTTGTAACATGTAACAGGATTTCCTTCCTTGTTGAGGCTTCAGAGTCAATGACTGTTTACATCTCTTGGCTACTGTAAATAATGCTGCTATGGCAAATATCTATTCAAGACCTTGCTTTCAATTCTTCTAGACATATATCCAGAAGTGCGATTGCAGAATCACAGGTTTTATGCAAATTTTATACAGCATTTTCAATTTTTGAGGAAACACCATATTATTTTCCATGATTACATCATCTTATAATCCCACCAACAGCACACAAAGGTTCCAACTATTCCACCAAAACTGGTTATTTTTCTGCTTTGTTTCCCTCAGTAACATCATTCTAATGGTTTGAGGTGACCTCATTGTAGTTTTGACTTGCATTTGTCTTATAATTAGTGGTGTTGAGCATCACATCGTGTTTGTTGTTCATCTTTGGAAAAATGCCTATTCAAGCTTCTTGCCTCCATTTTTAATTAGGTTATTTGATCTTTTTTATTTTCCAAATATTCTCGATATTTATCCTTTATCAGATATATGACCTTTGTGAATATTTTCTCCTGTTCCATAGTTGCTTTCTCACTCTGTTCATTATGTTCTTTGATGATTTTATTTTTGTTTTTGTTTTTTATTGTACTTTGGCGTTTTATCCAAAAACCAATTCCCAAACACAGTCTCATGAAAATTTTTGAAACCCTATGTTTTTTTCTTCTAGGATATTTATAATTTGGTGCTTTGTTTTTCATAAAGTCTCAGGTCATTTAAAACACAAAACTGATCAATACCAGATTTTGGCTTTAAAATGTAGATTGCATTATCATTTCACACCAGTTAAAAACTTTAACAAAACATTCTGATATTCCCTCCTCACAAAAACTTTCATTCCCATAGAAACTTCTGTCTTATTAATCTTTCAAAATAAATGTTTCTCAGTAGTAATCAGAAAATGGAGGTGATCCTAGTAAATCCTAGAGTGGCTTTGGTTGGGAATGATTTCACCCTAAACCCTCCCCCCCCCTCCCCCCCAGGGTCCAGTCCTTCTCCCTACTATAAGAAACTAAAAGCTGAGTTAGGGAGCTGTCCTTTTTAGAGGTCCTGAAATTTCCTCATGTATCTTGAGCTTCCAGAGGGGCTCTAGACTTGTCCTGGTAGAAAACAGAGACACCTCTTGGCCTGAAGAATCCTCATTTCTATCTCAGAATGAATAGATCAGTCTTCTCCCCACTCTCCAATCAATGTTACCAAAACAAGTAGTATATTATCATATACTACTATTAGAAGTACTGACAGAACACATTAAGAATTTTACTTAAATTGTCTACAATCAAGTCATTTTTCCTAGAGACTGAACATCTGAAGAGAAAGTGAAAACATTGTTTTCATGCTGAACCATGTGGATATTTTGAAAAGTTGCCTGGGTACATCTGGGTAAAAAGAGTAACCAAATGATTAAATTGTTGACTTTTTATGCAGCTGTTTGGGCGCTGAATACATAAAGTATTGGAGGGTTTTGCAACTTTGACAGCTATTTGCTTTAGTTTACTGGCCACAAGAATTTTGACTTATCAAACAAGTTGCTTTTATGTTCATGTATAATTTTTCAAATTCACATAAACAGAGGGGAAACTGCAACAACTTATGCCCAATTTTTCTTTTAATTATATCACACATATATCTCAATTTCACACCAAACTTTTAAATATTTTAATTCAGCTCCCTACTTATGACATTTCAATCCCCAAATACTACAACAAAGCAATACTCAAAAACATTAAGGGACTTAGAAGAACAGAGTGAGACGTTGTTTGTATATTGATAAGCACAGCATCTAACTCCTGTGCTCCTTGGGTTCACAATACAGTTTCACTTGGAATCCCCTTCAACGAAGTTATATTTCATTTCCTGGTTTAGTCCATATTTGGTTTAATGTGCTATGCCAAACAAATTTTTTTAAGAGTATCATAAAAGAATTTCATTAACAATTGCCAGTGGGTTGAATAACTGGAGAAAGTAAGAAATAAAGACTAGAGGTAACCAAACATCCCTGTCTCTCACATCTCTCTGACCTATTATGCTGCTAATCAACTATCTAAAAGCAAACTAGTATTTCATTTGAAAAAGTTGGCCATTATTCTGAATATTTTACTTTATTTGGTATGTAGATACTTGTGAATAATTAATACAAGCTCTTAAAAATTATTCCAAATGCCATAATATATGAAAAATTGAGACAATAAAATCAGTTGGTAGAAATTGCTAAATTCATGGCACTATTGCAAAATAATCACTACTTTTCAAAAAATGACTGTTTTTTGATGAATAGTTAAAGCTTAGTATATAAAGTACCATTACTAATTAGTTTCTAATTTAGCTCTAAACTTACTGAGTAAAAGCAAAAATTTATAAAATTTTTCTTATTAAAAACAAATGAACTTCTCAAAGCACTAATTTCTAAAGTTAATATGTTAGTTCTTATATCTAAGACTTGTGCAATTTAAAGATAATCTATGATTTGTAAAAAAAAATGTAGAGAAAAATCAGTGTATGACAATTTTACATTTGACACTAAATGAAATTCAAAATATTATATTACATCATAACTCAATGAAGTGCCTTAGTTACATTAAGGTTGTCGGTAGTGTTTTTATTCTCACTAAATACAGAAAGGGTCAATGTCGGCCACCTCAAAGGTGACAGACAGCCTTTGTTAAGCTAGAAACTAGACATTCTACAGTGGGACCTAGAAACTTTGACAAATTTGAGAAAATCGAAGAAAATGGGAGGAGTGGAACTCCAAGTTAACATAAATGCCAGTCTAAATTCATCTATTTTCTTGCTCTAGTACTTTCCAAGTGTTGCTGAAATTATCAAGAACCATCAACATAGTCCCCTGATTCTCATCGACAGTCAGAATAACACAAAAGATTCCACAAGACTGAAATACGCAGTTAAAGTTTCATAAAGGATGTCAACGTCGTGGCTCCAGACATTTCCCCCAAGTCCACATCTCCGAGAAACAGTCCTAAAGCTTCATATGTTGGATTGAGAATCATCTAGTAATAAAATGGTAGATGGAGGCAGTTACTGAGGTTGTCATCCACGTCTTTGTAAGAAGCTCATAAGAACTTATTATATGCCTAACTTGATGAACTGTTAATATCTGGTTGAATTATCATACTGATGTTGTACAAATAAATGTCTTTATTTAAACAAAATAGTTGTATTTTCATCATGTAAGAAAATAACATTATTTCCAAACTACTATAATCTAGGATAAAACAAAGCTGTAGGAAATTCAAGCCATTACAATAGTCACAGAGCACCAATGTAGATAAGCTCGCTACTGTCAGTGCATGCCAGTTATGTCTTGGTTAAAGTTTTAATGTGTAGTAAACAGAATGTAAGTAAAAATGTGATGTTTGTGTGTAAAGATGAGGCTATCATGGTCCTTTTTTGTCAGTGCTCCCAACCAAAAGAAATGTATATGTGGATATGAACTTTCTAGAAGTTCTTGTCCAAGATTATTATGTTGTTACCTTTACTTACTAAGTATAATTATATGCTCTTGATCTGCTTATTAAAGGGACTCTAAAGTTGATGTGAAGTTCACAGAGGGAAGAGAGCAAAGTAAGAGTAAAGGCCTAGGGAAATGTTCTTCAGAACAAGGGTAAAAAAAAGAGCTGCTGTGAACACTAGGGGATAAAAGAGGTATTGTAAGCAGCCAGATCATTTGAAATGTTTTACATTTTGTCTTATCAAAGTTTTTTCTCCTGTACTTTAGACAGTATTGAAATGATAAGCAACTAATTAAGATAAACTTACTAATTAACAAGGGGTATAGTTGATCACTGAATAAGCACAATCTCTGAATGGGTTTTTAAATGCTAGATTTCAGATTACTCAAACTCGGTTGTAAAGATAACTGTATTTTTTAATGTCCTATCTTTTCATGATCATTATGTTGTGGGTTGAACTGGGCCCTTTCCCACCCAATTCCCCAAAACATGTTGAAGTACTAAACCCCAGCACTTTGGAATGTGCTATTTATGGGGTCTTTATACATGTGGTTGAGTTTATCACCAGTATGACTGGTGTCCTTATAAAATGAAGGAATTTAGATACACAGATATGCTCAAAAGGGAAACCATGTGAATAAATATCCAGGAGAACATCATGTGTCTACAGGGCGCTGGAGCGATGCGTCAGCAGCCTACGAGCACTGATGATTGCCTATCAATTACCAGAGCTATAGAAAGGCAAGGAGGGATTCCAGAAAGAAGAGTCCTGCTGACACCTTTATTTCAGATTTCTAGCCTGAAGCAGGAGCCAATACAATTCTTATTTTTAGCTGCTCAATTGGTGGCCTTTGCTATGGTAGTCCTATATACATTTTTGACAGTGCAATCAGGTATTAAGAGTCCAGGAAATTGTGTATATGACAGATACCAGATGGTTTCACCCATCTGTGGGATACAGATCACCAAAACAACATGGCAACAACACAATAACAACAAAAACAGGAATAAATCTTGGACTTAATGAAAGGATACCTGCCTTGTTGCTGATCTTAAGAGCTAAATTTTCAGTCTTTCACCTTAAGCTTGATGTTTGCTAACAGGTTAATGTTTAATGTCTTTGCTGGTGGAGGCAACAGACATTTGGGGCAATCAAGACACTAACCAAAAACCTGAGGAAAGGCTGGGGAGTAAGATGTCTGTAAGGACTTAGGAATGTTCTTGGGAATCTAGAAGGCTACATGCAAGCCCAGGACTCTGTGTGCACTAAAGATCTGAGAAGGTCCTGTCTGAGTAGGACATTTTGCTAAAAAAGCAAGTGAAGGCTAAGGCACAACTGTAAACTTCCTGAGTGCTGAAATGTGCCTCTGCGTCCCCCCCGCCCCGCCTCACACACACACATACACACTACGCACAAACACACTACACACAGTGTTCTGGCAAAAAACTGGGAGAATTTTTTCATTTCTTTTTTCATTCCAGGTGTTTAAGGCAAAATTTATAAAAATTTGATTTGATAAATTCATTCAGAGAAGCTACTATACAATCACAAGTAACAATAACAAAAATAGGGGAATGGGGTGAACAATCTCAATTTTCAGAACTGTCACATTATAGCTTAAGTCTCCTTTCAACAACAACAAAATTATAAGCATGCCAAGAGAGAAGTACAACCTCATATTGGGGGGAGGGGGGGAACAAGCGACAGAAGCCCTGAGGAAACCAAGACCCATGAACTGAATGATAGGTCAATTTACACTGTCCAGTCTGAGGAACAGAAAGAAAAACAGTAAAAAGAGCAGAAATGAACAGTTGTCACATACCTATGTAACAGTATCAAATATAACAGCATAAACATAATGTGAATCTCAGAAGACAAAGCATTAGAATATTTGAAATTTTATAACTTCTAAAATTTTATGAAAAATATTAACCTCCCAACCAGCAGAGAAAAACTTAAATTAGGAGTGTCTAATAGAGGCCCCTTCGAACTAGTCAAAAAGTAACTTGTGGCCCTCCCTGGTGGTGCAGCGGGTTAAAGCACAGCACTGAGAAGCTAAGGACGCTTCCGCATGAGTTCGATCCCCGCCTGCCCCGGAGGTGACCACATGGTGCAGCAGACCTCTCCTGACCCGCCCACTGCTCCCCTCAGCAGTGTACTTTGTCGATCTGCCTGTTCTGCTCCCCACTCTGTCTCTGGTGAAGCCTCTCACCGCCCCTGAGCCTCTGGCCTGTACCCCAGTTCTGTATGCACAAATAAATAAATCTTTAAAAAAAAAAAAAAGGTAACTCGTTTTGTCAAACAGCTCCAAGATATTACTTCTCAATTGTCCAGTTACTAAAGGAAGCAAACATACTTAAGTCAATGAACACCAACCACAGCCAAGCTGTCCCATTTCAACTCTCCATTACAGGAGAAATTTTCTGCTAAAGCCGTTCTTAACTAACAACAAAAAAAATCCCTGAAAACATACCAAGCATATTTCAATAAAGGCAGGGCACTTAGCTGAAAATTAAAGGACCAACAAAATGCCAAGGCAAAGCACAGAACCAATGCCCCAACCCCAAGGTGGCAAATTCATCTCAAATCTCAAGCAGATGTCAGTGGTGAAAAGGAATCACTTAATACTTAAACAAGAGTTAAATTATATGGGATTAATCCAGGGTTCTGTTGTCGCCTGAGTTCCATCCTTCCCTTTCCAAAACAATTGCCTTTTCTTAACAGCTATTTCAAATCACTAAAAGAACAAGCATTTATTTCTAATCTAACCTAAATTCTCACAGCAACTGTTTGGTTTCATTTTTAATTCTTCCATAAATTACATTACTCTTACACAAATGACTAATTTACCCAGTAGTAACTTTCGTTGTATTTATATTGTCTTCTTTTACAAGCACATCTACATTGACAATTTATACTCGTGTTTTAAATTTTTATGGCTAGTAACTTTCATACAACTGGTGAGTATCACCAAAAAACCTATCAGACTTACGTTTTTAATTAAAAAAACAAAACAAAACCAGGAGCAGACCTTTTAAGAAAAAAATGGGGGGAAGGGAGGCACTTTGGTAAATTATTTGATAGGCCATATTCAGCTACCTGCATTTTAAATGAAATACTATGTATGCACTCATTCATGTAGTCTCTGACTGCTTCCACATTAACTATGACAGAACAAATGATCTACAAAGTCTTAAGTTACTTACTATCCGACCCTTCTTTGAAAAACTTTGCTGAACCTAACAAAATATTACATAAAAACAATTACTGCATTTCAATGTGCTCCTGAATGCTTAAAAAACTGAAAAGCAAACTATTTTTAAAAGTGAATGTCATATTAGTGAGGCACATTTAGTAAAGATGAGCAAACTGGCAAACTGGTAAAATTCCTGGCTCTGAAATTAGATTGCAAAAATAAATTTAGCCCTTCTAATTGTCATTATTAATGTTTATTAATAATGTCATTACTTATTAATGCCATTATTTTAGAAAGCCACCTTAGTTTCAGCCAGAAGAAAAGGATAATGGCTTTGCTTTTTCTATGTTCTACTGCGGCAATGAAGTTCCAGGTTAACTGGCCTCCTACCGGGCAAAATTTTGAAAATCAGAAAAGTACTAACAAAAGTACCTGGGACATAATGTATTTTTAAATGACTTTTGAATTTGAAGAGAAAAAAAAGTACATCTCAAGATTTTATTATTTACGGATAGGGCAATTCTGAATGAAATTTTTTTAGAGATTTATTTATGCATAAACTGAGGTACAGGCCAGAGGTGCAGGGACAGTGAGAGGATTCACCAGAGAGAGTGGGGGGGCAGAACAAGCAGACTGATGAAATACACTGCTGAGGGGAGCAGCGGGCAAGACAGCAGAGGTCTGCTGTCCCATAGGGGTCACCACCCTAGGGGTGACCTCTCTGGCCTGGGATGGGACATGCTAAAGCAGCTGCTGCTATCTTCTTAGTGTTGCACTTTAACCCCTTGGCGCCACCAGGGAGGGTCCCTCTTAATGAATTTTTATGGTGCAGCAAACACTGGCATAATTGTCCCATCTCTGTCCCAGAAAGTGGTAATGCCTCATCATAGATGCTTCTGCACCAAAGTTTTCCACTTTTACTTGTTAGGATGCTAAGGAGCATAAAGCCTCTCTATGGCTTTCCTTACCATCATAACCACAGAAAAATTATGGTGTTACCCTTATCAGTCAAAATCTCACCTATGAGAAGAAAAAAATCCTGTTTTATTTTGCATAGTTCACTATCATGAAAAAAGAAATTTAAAAACTATTTCCCATTAGAATAAAATTCCCATTTAATTTTAGCACAGTGAAAAGAATTGTGTAAACACAAACAAGATAAATTTAATTGAAAAGGTTCATTACAGAAATTAACAATGCTTACCATTCTTTAAACATCATATACATCATTAATATATACTGTATCTTTTCAATCAACTCCATTCTTAGGCTCAATTTAAGAAACACAATTGTAACAGATTTTATACAAAAAATACTTCACTAAGAAAGTAGACAAACTGCACAAAACCAGTACATGTATAATGTGCATAGCAAGATAGCTTGAAGCATTGTGTATGGCTTTCTTTAAAATAGAACTATTGGGGGAATGGACCCATTTGGGACCTACTGTTACAGTTGACAAATGTAAACTGTTTCACATCTTTTAGGCACTTGCTAACAATAGTGTTCAATCCCTGAAAAATGAATTTACCCAAAAAAAAAATCTACATCTGAAATAAAAACCAAGAAAATAACATGGGTAAAGTCTTATATACTCCTTTTAAATTAAACCACCAGTTTTATTAGTGCATGCACAGAACTAAATTGAAAGAAAATAAATTTTGTCAAAACTTTCTGTGCGAAATTTACATAACTGAAAGGTACAAAAATATGTACAGTTTTAAATTTTTTGTTATGTACAGAAAACAAGCCCTGAAGTTTTCATTCCATCAATGACATTAACACTTGTAGTAGCAGTACAACAAAAATGGTATCTCACATAATTTTGTAATACAAGAACTCCATTTTCTAATGATCCAACAAAATTTGATCTAAGATTACAAGATGAAAAGTTTAAACGGATGATTCTGTTGTCGCTGTGAAAATGTCCATTTCAAAACTCTATGTAGGGCATGTCCCATAGAAAACTCCTGAAGTTCATGCACTGCCAGAGTTCACTAGTAATGCTTCTCCATTTTCAACTGTCAACAATCAGTAAATCATCTGCTTTGGGTTGTCAGTCATACTGAAAAATTGATAATAAAAATAGTTTGTCCCAATGTGGACATGTTCAGACACTAAGAGTAATTAAACACAAACAAAAATAAGATTTGCTTTGCCAATCTTGCTTCATGATATTGTTTCTGTAGGAAAAAAATTCAATTTTCAAGAAAAGCCATTCCCTTGGAAGTGCTTCTAAATTCCACTCTTTTTAAAGGGATGACAACCAAGAAAAAAATTGGTCTTTTGGATTATGGGTAACAAACAATTTAAATTAAACAAGCATAGTTCCGTGTAAGAGAATCACTGGCAAATATAACCAAATTCAGAAAAATGCTCAAATTCTTTCACTGGATTTCACATTAGACAGTTTATTTCTATACCCAACTGCCTATCTACAACTACAATGCTTGACAGACATTTAGAAAAAAGAAAATTATCTGGGGAGGGTGTTGGAACCTCTGTCGCAGGACACTGTTTACAAGAAAGTAAGATTTGTCAAAAGCTCTTTTTCAAACATGAGGTGTAACCGTAGTGAGTTAAATGTATTCTCAAAGCACCCAAAACTCCTCCAAAGAACTACAGATGTAGAGTAAGGGCTTTACTCAAGCTCTCAGCACATCTTCACAAACGGTAAAAAACTCCTTCAGTTCCATGATGAAAGAGCTCTCCATCTTTGGAGGGGCTACACTTATCAGATTCATAAGGCTGGTGAAAGAGGAATGTGGCCATTAGCCGTTACCCTCTGCTGAGTCGTTGAAGAACTTGGTCGGGAAAATTATGTTATCAAAATTTTCTTTTAGCCCTAACTTCCCAAGAACACACTTTTAAAAAATTAAATCAAAGTACGCCTGTGCTGTCATACAGTGAGTGAAAGCATGTCAAGTATCATATATAGACCTTTTGCTCTTCTATTGACACATTACAATTTTCACAAGTAGTTTCAGGCAATAAACTGAAATAGAAAACATCTGCATTAAGGTATCAAACCACTGTTGTTTTCTAAGATAATTTTACTTTTCTTTTCCACAGTTAACAATAAATTATTCTAATGTATTCCAATCACGAGTAGCTTCCATTAAATGCCTCTGCCCATGACCAGCCCAGGCATCCTGATTGTCAAATACTCTACCACAAAACCAACAGTTAAATGTAGCCTTCAGAACATTTTCAGAGGTAGTTTTCACAATCTGATAATTGTTTTTGCTTGTCTTTTTGAGTGTTAACTTTAATACAAATCTTTCTTTCACAGAACTAATAGGTTTAAATGTTTTGTGTCTCTTGGAAAAATCATAAGTTGTTTTAGGATTATAACAAACTGGCTTCAGCAAAGCATTGATAGTTCTTTTTGACAATGAGACCTTAAGTACACGTCCATTAAATTTAGCAATAGTTTTCATTACATTGACTACTTCTGGTGCATCTGCATCAGGATGATTCAAAACTACAACTGGTTGGTTTCTCCTAGGGCATTTCACAAGTTGTTTGGAATTAAAGGGGAAAAGCCGCAAAGTTCTGACTGAATCTTTTGATAGCCTAGGTCTGCTAAATCCAAATGATTCATGGATATCTTGAGGTTTAGCCTTTTCTTTACACTTCCTATGTAATGTTGCTTTTTTTCTTGGAGGTTCTAGGTCACTATCACTATACTTTCGTTTACAGTTTCTGTTTCTAGATACAAAAGCAGTTTCAGAATCTATACTTCTTACTTGAGTTTTTATTCTTGAAAAGTTTTTTTTGGAAGTCTTTTTTCTATTGAAGCTTCTCTCAATTGTACAATTTGTTTTACATCTTAATACCCTGGCCTCTGAATGGTCAGTGATACATATTGGTTCGTCAGAAGATTCTGGACATGTTGCAGTAGAAGTTATTACAATTTCATTTGCTGGCATCATGTCATCTAGTATGAAGGGTAAGGCATCTCTAGAAGATTCTGGCTCTTTCTGCTCTCCTGTAGTTTGATTAGATGGTACAATGTCTTTCTGCAATGAGGATGCACAATTACTTACTGAAAGATTATTAGCAGCAGTTACATTTAAAACAGGGTTAAAAATTTTCAGCAATATTTTTTGTGGTGTTCCTTCAGGTTTCTTTGGCTGTATATTTTGATAATAAGTACTATTTTGGACTAATTTGGGCTTAAGCAGCTGAGTCTTATTTGGCATCACACACTTGAAAAAAACAGCTTGTTTGCCATCAGGCAAGAGGGTATAAAGGGGTGGTTTTGGAAAAGTCTCATTACGCTGTTTTACTGAATCCAAGATATTCAACTTAGTGCCCTGATGCTCAGATATTACATTAGAAGCGGGAGCAGCTTTCAGTGAAGAATTCGCTGCTGATTTAATAATGTAAGGACCTTTTAATGGCAAAGTACTTTCTGAGCAACTTTTCATGCTCAAACAACTGCCAATGCTGGAACAAAGTGCAGGTGTCAGACAATTATTGTTTTGTTCTACCTTTAAGACAGGCATTCTGCAAGGCTCCTTAGCTGCAGTTCCACACACTTGACCACTCTCAGTTTTGACAGTGGAAACACCTTCAAGTTTCCCATTATTAAATGTCAAAAGCATCCCAGGTTTCTTGTTTAAGATAAGAGAAGCAGGCACACCTTGTGCACTAACCAATGGAAGCGATCTTCCTGATGAAATGACATGTAACCCAGGTTTATTTGCAATGTGAAATGGTACAAAAAAGCCTTTTGGGGTCTGTACGTATATAGTATTCTTTGGTTCTGAATTTACAAGTGGATTCTGTATATACAAAGAACCAAAAGTTTGTGTAGTGGCTCGCAGTTTGTCTTTTACAAGCTGCTGTGTTATTATTGCATCTGACTGAGTCTTAAGTAATGTGCCAAAACCCGAAATTCTAGCTGTCTTCTCCATATCTTTCATGTCTTGTGACCCTGACAGAATTTGCTTTTCTTTTCCACAATTTAAATTCAGATCATTTGTAGGTATATCAATCCCCACACTAGCAGATGAAACTGGAAAGATGCCTTGTACTTTGAAGTCTTTTGAAGAGTCGATGACTTTGCCTTCTCCCTCAAGTTTCTGATAGGACTGGTCATAATCAAGAGGCAAGTCTTTATTAAGAGTGCTGTCAGTGTCTTGTTTTACATCGGCTTTTGCTTTCAATTCATCTTGAAGTAACTGATTTACTTCAGGTGGCAAAAATTCTGATGCCTGTTTGCTCTGGAGAGAGAACACAGATGTGATTCTAGGCATCATGGGTGAATCAACATTAGAAATGTCATCCCAGTTAGACTTTTCAGTCATACTCTCTAAGTCCTGATTTTCATTAGTATATAGGCTCTGTTCATCAATGTTTTGTCCTTTTTCTAAAACACACTCTTCCCCAATTTCAGCCTGTGTTTTTAAGGTTCCGTCTTTAGTGTGTAAAAGGCCAGTAGATGCTAACAGGCTATCTGGGTTTGAGCTCTCTTTCCTCACTAGGGATAAAACTGATTCACTTATTGGTAGTTGAGCAACTATCTTGCTTGATGAAGCTTCTCTTTGAGGGTTTTCACATAATGCTGTTCCTGAAAACCTACGACGTTTATTTAAATTATTCATTTTCGAGTAATTATGAAAAGGTAAGGATCCCTGGTTAGGGGACTCAACAGGCAATTCAGGGTTGACATAATTAATGCAATAGTTATGCATATCTCCACTACTGTATGCATTTGGTTTGACTATATCTGGACTTTTAATGGCAGTACTTAGGACCTCAGGAGGACTCTGAGTAATATGACTTCCCCATAAGTCGTCTCTTGTTTCAACTTTTGTGGTCAAGTTCACTGAAGATGTAATCAATTCTGATGTCACTGACAAAGAAGACACATTTTTTTCATCATCCATTGTTTGAAGCACACTGTTCCTTTGAGACAGCGAAGTCATTTCTTTTTCTGAAGTTATTTTCCCCGGAAGTACAGGAGATGCATATGAAAACGGAGTACCTGTTTTCATGTAAACTGTGTCACTTAACTCAGTTGCTATTCCTGATAAAAATCCAGTGGTATCCAAAGTCTGTGGTTGCAGATGAGTATCCTTGGCAGACTCTGACTGAGAGCCTGTGGAATATGAATTCTGTCTATTGGTAGGCAGCAATTTAATTACAATATGTTGCTTTCCATCCACCATCTTGAAGCCCATAAACTTTGCACTGTAGTTAGCAGGAACTGTTATTCTATTGTTTTTCACCATTAACACTGTAGGTCCTTGTACAGCAGTTTTCAAGAAACCTGAAGTAAAATTTGATCCCTCTTCAACTCTATTACATTGTCCAGTGGACAGAACAATTGGCTTTTCTGACTCTGACTCAGCACGTTTATCATTGTTCTCACAATAGTCTCTTTCATCCTTTTCTGAATTTAAATGTTCCTGAACAAGATGACTCTGGTCTTCAGACTTAACCAGTGTTCTATTCACTTTTTTAAGCACTTGAGTGTTTTTTTCCATACTTAGGTCGCTCCCATTGATTTTCTTACGTTTCCAGAATGTCTTCCTTGATGCACCTATCTTGTATCTTTTCAGTATCAGCTTAAGTCCCGCTGAAGTCTTCGCCATCCTTTTTTCATATTTGTCTTTTTCCAGTTTTTCTTTTGCATATAAATGTTCTTTGTGCAAAGTTATAACATGTCTTATAAGGTGCTCTCTCCTGGTGGCACCATAGTTACAATATTGACAAGCAAAGGGAAATGTACCAGAATGAACATAAAGGTGCTGCTGAAGCTCTCCTTTGGTAAAACATACATGATGGCATTTACCACATTTATAATGGATTTCATTGTGTCTGTGAATGTGCTGAACAAATGTACCAACATCCTGGGTGGAGAATTTGCACTTTTCACATTGAAAATTACCATTTACACAATGTGTGGCTGCAAAATGCTTTGTCAAGTCTAATAAAGTATATACACTCTCATTATTACAAATGTCACATTTTACTAAAGTGCTTCTATGGGTCCGTCGGTGTTGTTTGAAGACCTGGAAATCATTTGCTGAAAAACTACACATTTCACAAGGATATGAAGGTAATTCACCATGATGCCACATGTGAAAGTGTTTCTGCAAATCATTTGGGCTGTATCGAGTACTATCTTGGCATTTTAAACAGTTGAAGTTGAGTATTTTTGCAGACATTTTTATGCTCTCTTCAACTCTCTCAGATTTATGGAACAACATACATTCCTCTACATGGTTTGCAGTCTTTATGCTGATAGATTTTCTTGCAGTCTGTGGTTTGCACTGAAATAATTTTCGGTACTTGTCAACTTCATGTTTCAACAGAACTTCATTTGGAATATTTATCTTCGGCAAATCAATTTTCACATTTTTTAGTTTATAATGAAAAATACTTTCTGAAATTTTTGGTTTAAGTATTGATCTCAAAGTATCAACTATCTCATTTTTCACATCATAATCTTTTTGGGGGGTACTCTGTTTTTCATCAAAAAGTAACTGCTTCTGTTCGGATGGCATGATTTTACAAAAATTCAAATTTCTTTTTTTTCCTGAAAACTCTTGAAGTTACTCGTGATTTATACAGGACACAATACTGTGCCAAGACATCTTCAAAATACCAGGATTTCCCACACATTAACTCACCTAAAATCAAACAAGAAATGAAATTTTCATTACGTAAGTGTGAGTAAATGTCTTTTTTTGTAAATTCATTTTGAAACAAAGCAGGAATATTAATAACAAATAAGTAAAAGTTATAATTCTGCTAAGTAGCTTAAAAACAGCTTACCAAGAAGTAACACTCTGAAGTAGAAATAACACCAATCTTGAAATCAGGAAATACAAGCTTGAGTTCCAGCTCTGTCCTGCGACACTGCGCAAACAGCAACTTCTCTGCGCCTTGATATATTCATCTACAGAAAACCACAACTGGTTAAGAACTCTGAGGCATAAAGATTTCTATGTTGATACCACAATTTTTAAGCAGGATTCGGAAAAGTGTAACAAGAAAGGGACCCCTAAATTGAAGTTCCAATTATACGCATATGGTTCCAATTATACAAATGTAACAGCCTTAGTTGATCCTACAGTATTACTACCCTGTGATTTCAACAAACCTCTCTCCAGATTTTCTACTTCCTTAGGGCCTCAGGGATAATTTATGTTTAAAATAAAAGTTCCATTCATCTAAATAATAATAATAATGAACAGCTATATATCAGAGATATTTTATGGAGGTGGAGTGGGGAATGGGATCAAAAACAGTGGGGGGAAGGGAATGCACTGAACTATGGTGATGGCAGACAGGCGATCTGGTGATGGGAAGCCCTATATTATTTTTTAAAAGTTCCATTCATCTAATAACAACAAAAACAAAAATTATCTGTTCCCTGAAGTTACCATTACTAACTGGTAAATCCATAAGAGGAAATTAACAGAAATAGCACATTACCACAGGGGATTATAAAGTCCACCTATTACCTCTCTGGTTCCCAATGATTTTGATTATCTAGCTTTTTGTACTTAGAACTCAAGCAGAAAGTTAAAAGGAACACCCTTGGCACACTAGAATGTATCCATTACAGTGTGTATCCATTAATTCAAACACTTACTAGTAGTCTGTGTTACTTTAGAGAAGTCTCAATCTCTGTGTCTTAGTATCTTCATCTATAAAATTAAAAAAATCCATTAATACTCCCCTCACCCTGTTCAGAGAAATGATGCAGGCAGATTATTACTTAAACATACATTCATGGATTGAGTTAACCAGTTTAGTTAAGCAGTCAAAGAACCATTGTTTAATTTTAAAACTTGTATATGTTCTGCTATGACTTACAGACTGACTGTATATGAACCCTTTACGTCTATGGCACAAATACACTGTATAAACCACTGGTGTCTATATTTAAAAGGGTATTTAGCAAAATTTCCTTTACTTTAACCAGTTTTATATTCCAAAGAGGGGTCAGTAATAAACTGGTAAAGGTGAAAGGACATTACTATCAGCAACACTAAAAACTACAGGAGATTAAACAAACATTAAAACCTCATGAGAGTGATTTGATTTGGTTATCATGGTAATAAAAAGTACCAATAGGACCTCTCTGGTGGCGCAACAGGTTAGGATGAAGTACTGCAGGCAGGCTAGCTGCAGCCGCTTCAGCATCAGTTGGATCCCCGGCACGGAGGTGACCCATGTGGCACAGCAGGCCTCTTCTGTCTTGCCTGCTGTTTCCCTCAGCAGTTTACTTCCTCAATCTGCCTGTTCTGCTCCCCACTCTGTCTCTGGTGAATCCTCTTACCGCCCCTGCACCTCTGGCCTCTACCCCAGTTCTTTATACATCAACAAATAAATCTTTTTTTAAAAAGTACCAATAAGCCTTGGTTTTATTCTGTGTTAATTTCTCTGATTTATTCTTGTCTTTGGAAGGGAAAAGAGTGATGAACTAGCAAAAAATGTAATCTCAAAATATGTGATGAGACTTTGCGAAACAGATACAGAAGCATGAGTATGATAATAAAATCACTGTATTTGCATGCTTAAATGATAATAGATAAAATCAGATAAGCCCAAAAAGTTAAGAGTATAAATCATGTTAAGCTTCACCCAGAATGTCTGTACAAAAGCCTCATCTTTAAGGTTCAATAAATATAGCTATAATTAGGAACTTTAATGTTTTTAAAATAATTTATTGAGGGAAAGTAATTAAATGTAAATACTTAATACTTTTTGACATTATTCTTCAAATATATACATATATGCTAAATTGGTAATGAATTTACTTGCAGGTGCCAGTTTACTGAATTTTTCATATACTATGCCTAATACAGTAAAACATTTAAACTTTTGTTTAAAAGTTTTCACTATATTGTTTTAAGCTACATGTAAAAATAATTCTTTTAAAGACATAACTGACTAGAAAAGTATTCACTGACACCTGGTGTATTCTCCACACTAAGGAGATTCCCTACATTGTGGCACATTCACAACAGTGATAAGCATCTTAATCATTAACAGAGCCATTCATTCAGTTACCAGACTTTAAGGCAGAGTTCAAATATGTGCAACATTTCAAGTATATCAATGATTTGTTTCCATTTTCCAAAATATGATGATTTCACCATTATTAATAACCAAGTGTCTCTATTACCACATAGAGGAAACTGTATTCTTGCACATAAGAGGAGATGATCAAGGATATCACTATAAAAGGCACTGCCTTGTCTAAGTGTAATGTGTCTAAAAATACATGTAACTAAAACTAGATTTTGATAATACTTCTAAATAACATCAATTCCATTTCAAAATATCTATACAATTAAAAATTTTCTTATATCCAAGTATGACAACTAGTGGAAAAATATGATTTTCAAATACCTAAATCAATTAACACTTATTATTAAATGCCTACCATGAATATGAGGCATTTTGATCAGTGCTATGGAGAGCTTAAAAACATGGCCCTTCCACACTGTAGTTTACAAAGGAAGAGGTAGGACATATATACTAATACACTGCTTAATCAGAGCTGACCATCCTGCAACCTCACCTTTCCAGTACATATAGAAAATAATTAAAATCAGGAGGATGCATGGCAGATGAAACAGATGTCACAAAGTTCACCCATTAAAGTGTGTGAACTTTATATTACACTCCCAGATGCAAAAAAAGAGACAGCAACCAAAACAAAGAAAATATTTGCATACTATACAACTGTTAAGGCACTGATATCAAAGACCTACAAAGAGCTTATACAAGTCAACAAAAACAAACAATCCAAACCAAAAGCTATTTAGCAAAAGAGCTAAAGACACTTCCCCAAAGAAGAAATGCAAATGGCCAACAAGTATATGAAAATATGTTCAACTTATAATCAGGGAAATGAAAACCAAAGCCACAATGAGATACTGCCTCACACCTGTGAGAACGGCCCATATTAAAAAACTGTAAACAACAAATGCTAGAAAGATGAATGGAGAGTTTTGCCTATTTTTCTTCTACATATTTTATGAGAACTTGGAGAAAAAGGAACTCTCTTACATTGCTGGTAGAAGTGCAAACTGGTCAAGCCAGGCTATGTGGAGGATCCTTGAAATACTAGAAATGGATCTACCTTTGATTCAGAGATTCTACTACTTGGAATCTACCCAAAGGTCACAAAAGCACTAATTCAAAAGGAAATCTCCACCCCTATGTTTACTGCAGCACTATTTACAATAGCTAAGGTAGAAATAACCTAAATGCCCTAAAACAGACAAGGGATCAAAAAGCTGTGGTATATAACAGAAAACTCAGTGATTAAAAAAAAAAAAAGAAACAGAAACACGTGCCATTTAACAACATGGATGGAACTGTATGGGATTATTGTGCTAAGTGTAGTAAGTCAAAAGGAAAAAGAAACATACCAAATGGTTTCACTTATAGGTGGAATGCAGGAAAACCAAACAAGGGTCAAGAAAAAGATAAAACTTGCAAACTGACTACAGATTTGAGGCAAACAGCCAGGGAGTTAAGGGAGAAGGGTCAAAAGAAGAGAGGGGAGAACACAAGGAACTACGATGACTGTTCACGGTCACGGGAGCTGTGGTGGTGGGAGAATTACAGCGACTACACCTGAAGGGAGAACAATGACATAAGAAAAGAAATTTTTAAAATTTTTTAATTAAAAAAATAAGAAAGCATATGCCTTTCTTTGAAGGGAAAGCAATGTTAAGAGATTACCTTATTAAGAAATCCATCTAGCTTTAGTTTACAACTGTTCAACAATTAATGTTGAATGTCAATATTCTATGTATTTAATGTATAATGTATTACAGGGTCTTTATATTTCAGACAGTTCTGAGTTTGTTTTTTTTTTTTTGCCCTTAAAATTTAAGTTTTCAGATCTATTTTGCTGTCAGCTATGTTCAATTTGTAGCAAGTGGAAACAATCAAAGATGATACCTGATCACAAATTATGCTGTGGTTGCCACTTACTAATAAAAAAATATTGCACACTGTGAACATCTCAGATAACATTAAAAATGACAATTTTATAATTTTAATTCTCCAATCAACTAACTAATGCTCTTTTCATTATTGTACAATCTGGGTCCTATCAACAACTGCTCACTTTTAATCTATTTAAATCAGTGCCTTTTACATATGTATTATTATCTTCTAAAATTTAGCCTATGTATCATAAAGCCCTAAAGTAATACCAGTCACATGAAGTGTGGCTGTCCCTTTAAAATAATCTGGAGAGTTTCCTACATTAAAATAGCAAGTCATTTGACTTCCTCCCTCTCCCAATTCCCACTGAAACACAAAATATAGTAAAGAAAAACCATCAAAATGGTTAGAAACTAAAATAATCCCTACAAATACTACAAGGTGCTGGGTAGGAAACAGTTGCAAGACAGAGAAGCAAAAATAAATGCTGACCTATTGCCAAGTCCCAATTTAGAAGACCTTGACTAGGGGACATTTACTCAACCAATATTTAGTATCGGTATAGTAGGATCTAAGTAAGAAAAGCTTCCAAAATTCTGCCCACTCCCGTCCCAACATACCTTGAGATGGAAGGTGAGGGCTTGAGAG